AATTGCGTAAACAATATTTATGTTAATATGTATTAGCAAATTTATTTTCCAAATATTAATACTGACAACAGGGCAGCGATAGTCAATTTCGCTTTTATCACTGTACGTTGTACACACCTGAGCGCGCAAATTTCAGGCTATCTTATTCGCTAACTTTAAATGCTTCTAATTCAAAAACCATTACACCCTGAGTATTTTGGTATTAAGATTTTTTGCTCAGAATTATCTCAGAAATATACCCCTAAGCGTTGTTACGGTCTTTACGGGACACCCTGTATATGGAAATATGATTATCGTTAGTTTAGTTTAATTAAACAATATTATTCATAATTTTTATTAAAATATTAAGATAAAATGTACGTTTTAGGTCACAAAAACAAAAGTAGATGACGTAATTGAGTCCACATACTTTTCTGACACTAATACCTTCGATTTTGGGTCCTTATTAGTGTTTCGACAAGATAAAAGGTTTGATGTCATGACATCTAATGTATTAACTAATTAATTACATAAATTATAAATATGATATCTATAGATGGCTATAGATATATGATTTTTAAATAGTGACCATCGCCGTAAAGCGGAATTTAAGTTTTGCAATATATCCAAAGTTGACGCGGAAATCTGTTTCTATCTGCAAGAAAATAATCCAGATACTTTTATTTTGAAACCAGAGAAACTTTATCTTCAAGTATGCTATTATATTAAACATTAAATTACATTTAATTACATTAAATATGTATCATATTATTAATATAAGGTATTTAAAGAAGATCTTTGGAGTTATTCAGAATTATTAATATGTATTAAATATGGAATTTTATTCTATTATTCTGTATTTTATTTATGCTACATTTGATATATAAAACGTATTAAGCACATAAAACGCATTATTTTTTTTTATTTAATTTGTAGGCTGGACAATGTGGATTACTAGAAATATCAGCAGGTGTTACAAAGCTCGGTTTATTTTCTGATAAATTGCACATATGTATCACAAATAATCCACATATTGATATAATCGAGGTAATTATAACAAAAATATACGTTTTAAATATGTATGTGTAAAAATTGTTATTAAAAACGTGTAATACTTTAGCTTCAATGCAATGGTGCGAAATTGGACATAGAACTTGAAAGCAAACAGTTATCATTTGGACAAGTGCTTCTATATAGAAAAAATTTTCTACCTTACTTTATCTGGAATAGTTCTCCGATCGATATTTTTTGGCGTCTGGAGTTTGACGGACCATTAGATCCTCAAATATCATTTACACCTACTAATGGCATTGTTAAAGCTCGGAATGACCAGAAAATTGAATTCTATTATTATGCTAATAAAGTAAAAACCTAAATTCAGTTTATATTAATCAAATAAATTAACACATATAAAATTTTTTATCTTTATTATAAAATTTTTAATTTTTATTTATTAAATAATAACTTCTACGTTTTCAAATATAAAATTATTTTTGGGAAAATAATTGATAATTTTATTTCTGAATTAGATCGGAACAATAGAAGTAAAATTGATTTTCAAAGCTTTTTTCCACAAAGATGACGTAACATTTATTTTTGCGGAAACCCTTACTTTATCTGGTGAGACGTACGACATTGCTGTTGACATTAATCATGCAAATCCAATTGATCTAAAGTGTGTGAAAGTTGGTTCTTCTACGAGTGCAAATTTTACGATAAGCAATCAAGGAAATTATAAAGTGAAATATGTGTAAGTGTATTTTTTAGTCAACTCATATATCCATATCGAAATGCTATCATTGAAATTCACCTCATTACTACGTCATTATTCACATACATCAACAAAATGTTTTTTTTATAATTTCTTAATAATAAAATATATGATATATGATAAACATGTATCTGTACTGCTAATTAAATTGATAATTATGACATTAGCATGCTTGTAGAAGAGCAAAATAAACTGGCCAAGATTGCGCCGAATTTATCTACAAAATTAAAAGAAGACATTGAGATTAGTCCTGCTTTCGGTTCCATTAAACCACAAGAAGAAGCTACTATACAAGTACATTTTTCAATCTTTGTTATTTTCAATGTTTTTAATAATATTTTCTACTCTTCATATGATAAAATTAAGAGAAAAAAATATTTAAAAAAAAATTTCTTTTTTTTTTTTTTTTTTTTTTTTAATATAACTATTATTGTCATAAAAGATTATAAATAAGCTTAGCATAGTTTTATTAATTAATCTACAATTATATAAAAATAGAACTTCCATTTCCGGTGCGAGAGATCGTGACACGTGGTGACAGAATGTGATTTTTTGGTGGCGTGAGAGGTGCGTAAAGGAGCGTAGTAAGGATGAGAGCGGTGTGAGAGAGAGTGGAGGTGCGAGTGAGTTGATGCAAAGGGTTTAGGGCAGGGCAAGGAATAAGGGAGAAAAGGAGGTGAAATGAGGTGTTAAAAAGAAGGAGGTGTTAAAAGGAAACTACAGATAGTAGATAGTGTAGAGGAGAGTTTGGAGCCGAGTGCTGAAAGACAGGGAGCAGAAAGGTACAGAGAAAATAGTCATAAGCCGGTGGGACGCGCAGGCACAGAATGGAAAAAAGAAGAACAAGTGGATTAAAAGACGGAAGGAGACAGAGAGAAAGATGTAGGAGCTATTAAAATGTGGAGGAAATGCTAAAAAAAGAGAGAGAAGAATCGGGAAAGAGAGAGGAAGGGGAAACGACCTTTTGCAATAGCAAGAAAATGCCGAGATCGCCGGTTAAGAGCAGTGTAAGGGAGGAAAAAGATATAAGGGGATATAATGGAAATATGGAAAGAAGAGATAAAAGAGGTTAAGAGAAGATGAGGAGAATGGAAAGGGAAAATATAGACAAATGAGGGAAGAAGTAAATGAAAGGATGAGAGAACAGGGGAGGATTCTGAGGGAGGAAATAGAGAGTATAAGAAGGGAATTTAGGGTGCAAGAGGGGAGATGGAAGGAGGAGAGGAAAAAGATGAGGATGATTATAATAGGTTAGAAAAAACAGGAGAAGAGGGAGAGAAGGGAGAAGACAGAAAAAAAAATGTGGGAAAAAGAATAAAAGAAATAGAAAGAAAATTAGAGTGGAAGGAATGGGAAAATAGAAAAAAGAACATAATAATAAAAGAAATGAAAGTGAAGGATAAAAAAAAGAAGAAAGCGGTGGAAAGGCTATTAAGGGACAAAAGTAAACATAGAGGAGGTCAAGAAAATAGAGAAAAGAGTAGAAAGGGGAAGAGAGAGAATGTGGATAAGATTGGGAAGCAAGGAGCAAAGAAGAGAAGTGTTAAAAAAGAAAAGAAATCTGAGGGGGAGAAAAAAGAAAAAATCATGGAGTATTGAACGTGAAAGGAGAGAAAGAGGTGAATGCTAAAGAAAGTAGTAAAAAAGGAGGAAAGGAAAGGGAGAAAAGTATGGTTAGCATACGGGAGGATTAGAATTGATGATATATAATGGAGATATATATGATGCTGAGAGACGGGAAAGAGAAGATAAGAACGGAGGCGGAATAAAACGAGAAGAAGGAAAAGGAGGGTACGAAATAAAAGAAGAAAAATTAAGGGAAGAGGAAGAAAAGGGAAAAGAAGGAAAAAGATGAAGCTTAATATTTTAGAATGTAGCGAGACTAAGAAATAAAGATTTTTTATTAGAACTGAAGAAATGGGATATAATAGTGATGACGGAGATATGGTAGGATAAAAAAGGATGGAGTGAAATAAAGCAGGTAAAAGGGTTATGAATGGGAGATACAAAAGGCAAGAAAAAAGAACGTAAAAAGAAGAGCAATGGGCAGGAGAATAGTAAGAGAAATATTGAAATAGATAATAAAAAGAGGGACAAAGATAGAGACAAAAAGAAAAATAATATCGGTACAAAAAGTAGAATGGGGAAGGGAAAGGTGAAGAATAGTGGAGATGTATGTGGATAGGGACATAGAAAGAATAATGTAAAATTTGGAATAATAAACTGAAAATAAGGAACCGGGTAGAAAAACAATAATAGGAGGAGACTTTAACGCGAAGACTGCGAAAGAGAATGAGGGAATGGAAAAAGGGGAAAAAGAAGAAGAGGAAAAGGGGGAGGAGGAAAAGACAATCAAAAGATGGGAAAATGAATAAAAAGAGCAGAAGATTGGTAGAGTTCTTTGAAGAAAACAGATGGAGTTTATTGAACAAGAGCATAAAAGGAAATGAAAAGGAGGAAATACGTTTACAGAAGAGAAGGGATGTATAGTGATATAGTGTATAGATTATGTTATGAATATAAAAAGGTAAGGGAAAAAATAGTGAATATGAGTGAGTCCCAGTTGCGCACAGAATAAATCGGATATAGCAGATTGAATGAATCAGACACAGGTCTAATCGGACATAATAAAAAACAGACACACGGTGGTTGGAATTAGACACAGTAAAAATCAGTCACAATGCCAATCAGACACAGTGGCAATCAGACACATTAAAAATCGGACACGGTAGGAAATGGACACACCGTAATTGCAATCGGACACAGTAGCAAACGGATACACAGGATGTTTGCAATTGGACACATCCGTGACAGTTTTCCTGACCTTAAAAACATTACTTCCCAGCAAACACCAAGTTACAGTTATATAATTGT